AAACTGTAATTAGATCTCAAAGCGATCAAGAGATAACGGAGCTATGGACTAAAGGTTTGTACTGAAAAAAAACAAAAACTCTTTGACCCTCAGAATGTCACTGCTAAGTTGACTAACCCAAATAGCATCTTCTTGAACTGGTAGCATCTGTCTGGTGTCACAAAAGTTGTCTTCTCTTTAGATTCTGTCTCCATTGAGACCTGCCAATAATCTTCCTGAGGTCGATATTGGTAAAGAACCTGGCCCCATCTAGTTTTACCATGGGATCTGAGTCGAATTTCATCATGAGGTTCAGCTTCCGGAAATCTATGCAGAAGCAGTTTGAGCAATCCCCCTTCTTCACATTTACCGCTGGTGGTGAACCGTAGGTTAAATTCGAAGACTTGATGATTCTGGCTTCCAACATTACATCGACTTGTTGCTTGTTCGGGTCTCTCATTGCATAGGGCATCTGGTAGGGATTCACCTTAACTGCATCTGTGATCATAGTCTTGATCTTATGTTGTACAAGGTCTGATTTACCTGGTCCATCTTGAAGATGTGTACTGGCAGAGTAGATCTTATAGCTCTTTCTTCTGCTTTCCAGTTAGTTCTTCACTGATGTTGACATCTTTGTATGTCTCATCTCCACCCAGCAGTATTAGGTATAGTTGGTCTTCATCTTCTATGACAAAGTCTCCATCTTCTAGTTCTTCATCTATGACAGCTACATCTGCAATGCCCATCTGTGCTTCAATAGCTGCGCCCATGAGGTCTTCTTCCCTTTCAAAGTACCACTTAAACAGATTGGAGTGGTAGATCTTGGTTTCCCGTTCACCTTATAGTCCATTCTGTTGGCCATTTCCTACACTTCAAAAGATCCTTTCCACTGCAGGGTGAGTTTGTTGTTGTATGTGGGTAGCAGAACCAAGACATTCTGTCTGACCTTGAAATGACGATCCTTGGCCTTCTTGTCATAGAAGTGCTTCAGATTGCCTCGAGTGAGTGGACAGGTCTCATCCAGTTGGTTTCTGAGGTTTAATACATAGTGGTATGTATTCCTCACTTGTAACTATTCTTTTCCTGTCCACAGTTCTCTCAATATCTGCACCAGACCTCATACTATTTTACCGTACAATAACTCAAAGGGTGAAAAATCCTGTACTTGCTGTGCGGCATTTGGTAAGCAAGTAATACTGCTTGCACTACTTGTCACAGTCATACTTTCTCTCCTGGCACATCTTCTTCAGCATGTTCTTTAAGACTTAGTTGACTATCTGACAAAGTCTATTACATCTGGGGTAGTTAAGAACTGCCTACTGTTGATGAGTCTGCACACCTCTTGCATCAGTTCTGAGGTAAACTGGCTCCCTCTGTCACTCAAAACTTCTTTTGGAAAGCCTACTCAATAGAACACTTCCAGGACGGCTAATGCTACTCTCTCTATCTTTGGTAATGCCATGGCTTCCGGGTAACGTGTTGCATAGTCAACTACTGTCAGCACATACTGATTGCCCTTGTTGGATACAGGTCCAATCAAGTCCAGTGGTACTATCTTGAATGGCTTTTCTATGAGAGGCATTTCACCCAGTGGCACCTTCGCTACCTTTCCCATAACTTGTAGAATCTGATCACATCTCCAATGACCCCTAGCCAATGGAAGTTGCTGGAAATTCTGTTTTCCGTCCTCTTCACTCCTAGGTGTTCTCCCACAAGTGAATTGTGAGCTCACTTCGTCACTTGAATCTAGTATACTGTTGGTACTAAGATCTGTTTAACTTCCCCAGTAGAACTGTCTTGGTAAATCTGGTACAGCACTCTCTTCCAATCCTCCATTCTGCAAGTCCCTTTCCCCTTTGTCTTGTGCTCGACTTTCTTCTGGGCACTGTCCCAAGGTATCTGCAGTGAAAGGTATTCTTCTGTGCTTTCTTCAGTTACGGTAGACCTACATTCGGGATGTTTCCTTTCGAGATTTGGAGTGAGTTGATGTTATGCTTGTATTTCTTTTCTTGAACTCTTGTGGTGACTGCAGATTTCTCATCAGCTTCCTTTGTGTCTGTTTCCTCCAAACTTGTACTACCTGGTATATTACCATTTACCAAATCATAGATGGATACTTTCATACACATGGCCTCAAGGTTTCCCATGTAGTATGGAGTGTCTATCTTTATTCTTGCTGTGGAAAATTTTCTCTCTGTCCCATCAATCAGCCCACAAAGATGAACCTTGCCTACCATCTGGTCATTATTTTCTCACTGCTGCACCCAGTGTCTCATAGGACTTTCACTTTCTTGTCTCTGACATAGCCTTCACTTCCTGGCATGTTGTGGTTCATTGGCACTTCTCAACATTTGTCACATGCTCTGATCACCACTGGCACTGTTGGCCCATTTGCAAACTTGAGCTGAGCATCTATGATACAATGTTTTATCATGGTGATAGTACTTTCTTCTTGTGGTGAATATGACGAATTGTATTTATTATGCTTCTTCTGGCAGCTCCGTGTCACACCAAACATGCTCGCCTTTTCAGCCGTGGGGACGTTATAATGTGTAGTCAATCCCACTATTATTTGATAAAAGAGTAATCCAAGAGTTGGCAGTGGGTGGTGATGACAAGCTGCCTTCCCTCTAGTCTTACACTGCTAAATTAGGGATGGCTAATGCAGATAGCCCTCATGTAGCTTTGCGCAAAATTCAAAACAAACCAAATCTTCTGGCAGCAACATCCATTGTGATACACATTCTTTTCCTGTTTCTTCCCAGCATCATCTTTGTAGGTAGTTCCAGCTGCTTTATGTTAATATTTTGTTTTTGTTCCTTGGTGACAGATTTTACAATAAGCATGGGATATCTTCTCCTTTTTGTCTGTTGACTTCCTGTCATCCTTGGTGGCATCCTGCTTCTGGTCAGCCACCCCTAGTTTCGACTTTGATTGGTTATTTTTGGACTTACCTGATATATTCCTTTCATGGGCTTTCATATACTGTTTTGTCAGCTTGATCATCTCGTCCACATCTTTCGGTTTTATCTCTTTAAGGAACATGTCAGTGGAGCATGGGATCATGAACTCTTCCTGTATTAGTAGAAATGCCAGTCCTTTAAAACTATCTTCATACTTGGCCATGTTAGTCCATCTTGTGAAGTATCATTGTAGACGTGCCACAAACTAAAATACAATTTCTCCAGTGTCAGATTTGATTTCTCTAAATTTCTGGCGAAAACCCCCCTCACTAAGTTCATAGCATTTCAGCACATTTCATGTGACGGTCAATCCCACTATTCGTTGGTAAAAAGAGTAGCCCAAGAGTTAGCAGTGGGTGGTGATGACTAGCTGCCTTCCCTCTAGTCTTACACTGCTAAATTAGGGACGGCTAGCGCAGATAGCCCTCGTGTAGCTTTGCGCGAAATTCAAAACAAACAAACAAGCATAAAGAATGATAGAACAGGATTAAAAGTTAAAACACTGTTAGGATGCGAAATTTCCCAATATTATGTACTAGTTTAAAAAGAAACATCATTATTGTGAGAACGTATTGTAATGATGTCACATTAATTATCTTTGTCACAAGACAGTATGTTAAGCCTATTGTATTTTTGGCACTACATTCTGAATTTAGTCTCTTAGCAATATTGAAAAATCAGAAGAATATATAATAATAGTATTTCAACCACACTATATTCGTCATATCCCTTCCCGACGATGTGTTTAGCTCAATCCACAGATTTTCCTTCAGGTCAGCTGGGATACAATGAACACAGTAGCAATATGAAAATTATTTATATAACCCACGTGTTTCAACAATTGTTATGATGCGAACGCCATTTACAAGTGGTGAAGCATGATTATAATTAATTATCCTTGTCATAAGGAATTATACTAGGCCTATTACATTAGATGGTCCAAAATTATTTTCGCTATTTTAAAATTTAATAATTACAAAAACTAAAGAAATACAACCAAGCAGTTTTCAATATCTTGTAGCCCATCTCAAACAGTTTTTATTGACATGTCAGGGAGGTTCTACTTGTGCACCATTAGTAGCTCTTAGCA